CAGGTAGCGACTGCCATGTTTTTATAACTTTGACTTTATATATATCGGCACGAGCTTCTGTCGCAGCTGTCACAGAAGCGTGCAGGTCGGTGCAGTTTGTACACCAGCGAAGCGAGGTTTCTTGGTGCAAATTGACCATCACGATGGTGGTGTGCTGCATGCCTTTCTGCGAATCAAGGCAAGGGAAGAATCCTGATGTGACTTTTCATGAGTTTCCAGTGACCGAGGTCCATGAAAAATGGGTCAAGGTGATTTCTGTGTTGTAAAGGACTACGTGTCTCTAAAAGAGTGAGTTGCTGGGCTGGTTGGTGGTGCATGACAGACAGAAACGCATATTAGTGCAAAAAAATAATAAACCGACATCCTCAAGAAAGTAAACGATGACGTGCTATACTCACAGCTGTTTATTAACAAACAAAAAAGAAAGATAACATGAGTGCACATATGGAAACCATGTCACTACATGTGGTTATGCAACTAGGTTTTGAAACACACCCATTGTGTGAAGAATTAGCGTTGAATAAGTTATTTTAGGTGCTGTTTCGTTTCAAAACGATTGCAGAGTGTCTTTAATTGATTTTCTATGTACCTGCGATCTACATTTGCCATTTAAGACGAAGGTATTTATGCGCAAACGTATCTGTATTGGGTTGTTTTCTATGTGCGCCGGATGCCGCGGACACTGTCAAGTGTCATAGTCCTTGCCATTTCTTGCCCAGACAGTAAACTCAAGCAAGCTGAGTGTAATACAACGGCAACAAGTCTACCATTGTATACACACATAGTTGGTATTATGAGTTAAATAAACATTTGGTGGCCAGCGCTTTTTACAACCTGTCTACGTCGTCATTCTTTCTTGTTTTGCACGCTGATACTTGTGTTTGTACCTGATTTGTGATTCTATTTGAAAAATAATGCACTGAAATGTCAACTAAAATGCAAAAAAACATTCTCAAAGTGACATAAAATAAAATGATTCAAGATTGCCGCCACATTTACTCAACGCGTGATGCAACTCTTCTCTAACCGGCGGCAACCCATGCATTCACCGGCGTTCAGGTTGAATGGATAAATGGATGGATATGGCTGTACCCTTTAGATCGGGCGGTGGCTAGCGCCACCAAGCCGAAATACTTAATGAACCAAAAATTAGATTTATTTTTTTTTTCTTTAAAACGTGAGTTTGAGGATTCGTACTTTGCAGTGAAGAGTTCTATTTTCACTCGTGCCTTGACTTTAGCCACCAATCAGATAACATCCTTCTAGTTAAGTCTACCCACTTAAAGTCTATATTTCCCTCCCGGTCCCTAAACCCCAGTGCTTTAAAAAACTCTGCACCATCATCTTGAACTATAATGTGAAGCCCTTTACAGAACATTATGAAGTGTTCGGCAGCTTCTTCCTTTCCACACGCACTGCATACCGTGTCTACCCCTTCGTACTTGGCCCGATATATCTTGGTTCGCAGTACTCCCGTCCAGGCCTCAAACAGTAGAGAACTACCCCGAGTATTATCATAGATCCTTTCCTTGGTAATTTCCTACTTAAAAGTTCGATAGATCTCTAGTGCGGACTTCTTAATCATGCCCATTCTCCACATGTCAGTCTCCGTTTCCTTCACTTTCTTCTTAACCGATAGTTCTTTTTGGTTTGGCCACCTGCTGTTTTCTAAGTATTTACCAGTCAATTTGTCAATTTCCTGGTTCGCTTCCTCCATTTTGTATCGACATTCTTCATGTACAAGTAGCTGAAAACCTTCCTAGCCCAACGCTCCTCCCCCATTTCTCTCAATCGCTTCTCAAATTTTTTCTTGCTGCTAGCTTCCCTGCCCTCAAATGATGTCCATCCTATATCACCTTGTACTCCCTGATTTGGCCTATTCCCGTGAGCTCCTAAAGCAAGCCTACCTATTCCACGTTGCTTAATTTCTAATCTTGCTTGAACTTCTGATCTCATGCACAAGACCGCATTGCCGAACGTCAGCCCAGGAACCATGACCCCTTTCCATACTCCTCTCACAACATCATACCTATTGTAATTCCACAGTGCCCTATTTTTCATCACTGCTGCATTCCTGTTACCTTTAGTCATCACGTATATTTCGTGTTCCCTCAGGTACTCGGTCCCATTGCTTATCCATACGCCCAGATATTTGTATTTATCTGTTATCTCTAGCGTGACCTCCTGTATTCTAAGCTCACTACCTTCGTTGTCATTGAAAATCATGACTGCTGATTTTTCCTTACCGAATCTAAAATCTAACCTATCTCCCTCATTACCGCAGATGTCCATCAATCTCTGCAAATCTTCCTTGTTGTTGGGCATTAGTACTATATCATCTGCATACATTAATGCTGGTAGTGCCTGATCAATAAGTTTTCCTTGTTTGACTAAAGAGAGGTTGAAGCCCAGTCCACTTCCCTCTAATTTGGCCTCTAATCCTTGTAGGTACATCATGAATAATAAGGGTGACAGGGGACACCCCTGCCTAAGCCCCCGTTTTACCTCTGCAGGCTTGGATACCTGTTTTTCCCACTTTATAACTACCTTGTTAGCTTTATAGATACCCTTTAAAAGATTAGTGACTACATGTTCTACGCCTAGTGTGTCCAGTATTCCCCACAATTCCTGTTGAACCACGCTATCGTACGCTCCCTTGATATCCAAAAATGCTAGCCACAGGGGCCTGTGTTCCTTTTCTGCTATTTCGATGCACTGCGTAAGTGAGAACAGATTGTCTTCCAACCTCCTGTGTTTCCGAAACCCATTCTGCAGTTCCCCCAGCACCCCCTCATCTTCTATCCATGCCTGCAGTCTTTCCTTTATAATCTGCATCGCCAGCCTGTAGACCACTGATGTCACTGTTATAGGACGGTAGTTGTTTATGTCAGCTTTGTCCCCCTTTCCTTTATAGATCATGCTCATCCTGCTAAGTTTCCATCCATCGGGAACTTCACCATCGATTATTATTTTGCTCACTGCCTCTCTCAAAGCCTGCTTAGACTTCGGACCTAATGTCTTTATCAGCATAATTGGAATGCCATCTGGGCCTGTTGATGTACTACTTGGAAACCTATTCTCAGCCCTTTCCCACTCTCGTTGTGAAAATGGAGCCATCGTGCCACTAGATCCATCCCTGTCTATTGTTGTGCATAAGGAACTTCTTTGTTGAAAATTTTCTGTCACCCTTGTTCTCATATATTCAATAGCTTCGTCCCCTTCTAGCCTAGCATCTTGAGCTGTAGTTATAAACCTCCGCTCTAGGTTTGTTTCATTTCTTGAGGAGTTTAGATGGTTCCAAAATTTCGCAGCTGCCTTTCTGTTCTTTTTATCTACTTCTGCCAGCCACTGAGCACCCTTTCTTGTAATCTTTTCATTGATCAGGAGGGATGATTCCCTTATAGAGCTTAGAAATATTTCCCATTTTCTTTCAACATCATCTATCGGTTCACCCCGTTGCTTAGCATGTCTGTGTTCCCTAGAGGCTTCCTGACGTTTTGCTATGGCTCTCTTAACTTCCTCATCCCACCAACTCTTGGGCTTGTGTCTTCTTTTCCGGGGTGACTTCTCACGTGCCTTAGCAAGCTCTAGCCCAAACAGTCTAATTAGATTTGTGTATGTCCACACAGTTTTATTATCCCCAGTGATTACTTTCTCAATTTGTTTAGTAGCAATTTCTATTTGCCTTTCTGAATGAAAATTTTTCTGTAGTTGCTACACTTGTCTCCTTCCCACTTTCGCTGCTCTTCCAAAACTTAGCTTGATACGTTTGTGATCACTACCCAGACTTCTGGAGCCACCTTCATCTATGTGCATTCTTCTGAGCTTATCATGCATCCTATGTGACATCAGTGCGTAATCTATCGTTGACTGCAGCCTTCCTACCTCCCACGTTATTTGCCCTTCACACTTCTCGGTACTGTTGCAAATGATCAAATCATGCCTTTCACACATATCCATGATCATTTTGCCTGTTGAGTCAGTATACTCATCTATATCTTCTATGTGTGCATTCATCTCTCCTAGTATAGTTATCTCGCACTCTCTTCCTAACTCCTGAATGTCCTTTGATATACACTCTGCCGTTGCCTGGTTTTCCTCTCTGGCCTTTGCTCCCGTCCCCAAGTACACGAAACCAAGGAGTGTCATTTGACCTGCCACTTGCCCTTTTAGCCATAAATGTTCCTTGCACTCCTGCTTGACCCTTTGTCAGTCTGTACTTTTATCAATGAATGCCCCAATACCACCCCCCTTTCTGCTGCTTCTGTTCTACTACAATATTCCCACGCGTAGTCCGGATTGTTCGGACGTTGTTCCATGTCCCTGAGATGTGTTTCTACAAAACCGTATACCATCGGCCTCTCTTCCCTTAGCTGTTCTTCTATCTCTTCCCGCTTCAGCCCGTTCCTACCACCCTGCATGTTAATATACCCTATGTCTGAATTGGCTCGGCGCTCGTGGCTACGTCTATTTATGCCCCGGACTCTACCTATTTTAGATATTGGTACCACTTTGGAATCGTATCTGTTTATACCACCTGTCGAAGAGTCTCCCTGGTTGTTTTCCTCGTTACTAGCTATCCTGCACCCCGAAGGGCTCGCTTGCCCCCCAAAAAAGCTACTGCGCGTCCTGCAAGTCACCAACCCACCTCATGACCTAGCCGCCCATCGAAGTGAATTCTGTCTCGTTGAAAATCACCCCACCTGTGCACCTCTCTGTTTATTTCCACCACCTCAAAGCCTTTCTCTCGACTCATCCACCATATCTCTTGGTTTGCGTTGACAATGGCTCTTTGCAGGTTGCTATCACGCAGCGGTACCTCCGATATCGTGCATATCACTACCTGTACCTTAGGAGAAGTGGCGCGCATGTCATCGACGTCTGTCGCCAGTGTGGTTGCTAGTCCTGCTGTGGTAACTCAGCTGGGGTAACTCGAGCGCCCCCTAGGTGGCGAAGTTCGGAATTTGAGCCGGCGCAGGCAGCTCCGTAGACCGCCGCCAGCTGGGCAGGTCAGGAGTACAGTAGGTCGTGATCTGTACCAAGCCTTTAAGAAATGCTTAAAGGCTTGAAAGTTTGTATATGTATAAAACGCTGCGCTTGGCGGCTATGACTTTGATCCCCTTCTATGGCTTAAGCTGACGCCTTTGCTCTGGTTGTTCAGGGTAAATCGCCCATTTTCATCTTTACGCACTTGTCTTTACGTCATGACTGCCATGTCTTTATATCTTTGTTTACAGCCGGAGCCAATCCAAACCAACGTGCATCATGGCAGGCAATCAAAAGCGGAGTAGAGTATCGGGCGCTATGAAATGGGATGCTGCTGCTGGGAAACAGACAGCGACAGGCCGCAAACCTCTCGGAGAACCCATGTCTGTCCCACAGGTGCTCGTGATGGTAGGACTGCACCTGTGTCGTCGTGTGGTGGTGGTTGAACCGCGCGTTAAAGTGCCCCTCTACCTCGGTGTTTTGCTGATCGGCTCGGTGATGTGCGACTTCTTCCCCATTCCGCGTACTTACCTCTCGCGCAAGGACAACGTGTTTAATATCTATTTCGTCAAGGTCGCCTGGGGCTGGACACTCACCACGGTAGGACTGTTTATGGCCGTCTCGAGTTGGGTGTACTGTTGCGGCGACCGCGCGCTTGTAAAGCGTCATTTGAGTCGCCTTGCCGTCGGCACTGCCGCGTGGTTCTTCACGACTAATTTGTTTGTAGTGTTCGAGGCGTACACGAGTCGCTGTGTCGTCGACAAACATGGAACGCGGGAAGCGTGCCTGAGGGCTGGCCAACGTTGGTTCGGGTTTGACATTTCTGGTCACGCATTCTTACTGATTTTCTGCAATTTAATGATCGCCGAGGAAGCTCGGAGTTTCTGTGGCTGGGAGAGAATCGGAGACTTGCTTAGAAATGAAAAGTACGACGATGACAGCCCTCTAAAGGAGTTGAGAGTCGAACAGCTGAACCTACTGCACGATGCGTACCCGCGGCTTACGCCATTCGTGCGCCTGCTGTTCGTGGCTTTGACCTTCCTCTCGCTTCTTTGGGATTTAATGCTCGTGTGCACGGTGCTGTATTTTCACAGCATGGCCCAAAAAATACTCGGTGGCTTGATAGCTATTGTCGAGTGGTTTGTGCTCTATCGCGTCTGGTACACAATGACGTGGTCTCCGGGCCTACCCGGCCAAGGACTTTTCAAGTATCGTGACGTCCAGAAGAAGAAATCTCAGGGTTCTCGGAACTGAAGAGTTGTGTGTTCACGCTTTGGCTCTCTCTCTCAGTGCATCAGATGGTGTGCCTTCATCAGCAGACATCAGTAGGCTGTTGCAAGAAAGACTTAAGTGTGGAACACGCGGAAGCCTGAAATGGGTGTTGGTGTCTCTGTGATAATTGGAAAGATGTTGCATCATTATGTGAACGGCGTTTGTGTTCGTGCCTACATAAATTGGAATGCTAGTTAAGGAAGAAAAAGAAATGTTCAGTAAGAGCTGGTCAGCTATCTGTCTTTTTAAAATTAAGCATGCAAGTAAAAATTTAATATGTGAACTGTCTTGTCACGTTTATATTTTCCTGCATAAATTTGAAAAATGTCGGTGCTTTAACATACCAAGTTTACATTAAATGTACATGCCGAATGTCTTTTCATTCATTGGTATGTCCGTGGGTAGGTCTGATGAGTGGCTAAAGTCGTATCTTAGGCATGTGTTGACTACTGTGATAAATTATTGGCAGAATATCTTACAGCTACTATGAAAATGGAATAATATATTGAAGAGTTTGTTTCATGTGGAAACGATGGTTCTTTAAATGAAACATAATGCTTGTGCTTAGCATGCAAAATGTGTGCAGAAGTTTGTGTGATGTTTACAATGCAACAGTAATGGGCCTTTTCTGGGTAGGTAGTCTGCGCATGCGTGCCGGCTTTGAGGTGACACGCGCCATGATTTTCGTGGTCAAAATGTGAGGACACATGTGGACCAAGTTACATCTGGTGCCACAAACATGCAACTGTTTGCCCCAAAGAGAGGCATGAATGCAGGCCTTTGAGACTGCCTACCGGCATGCGGCGGACAATTTCGGAGTCCAACAGCCACCAGTTTTGATTTTAGCGAGCTCCACTGGGGGTGCTGTTCGGAATAGGGAAAGGCCCATTAAGCATTTGTTTTTATGCAGTTTGATTGTAGTATTTTGAGACATAAAAGTTGTACCTGTAATTTTGGTAAACTTTCCAAAAAATTGATTAAAGAACAAGTCTGTGGCATCATTAACTTTTTAATTAGTGCTATGGCTCAACCAGGAGACAGATTGAAAGAAGTTATGCTTTTATCAGTTATAATGCCATCTTGTTCTGTGATAGATGCAGATATAGTGTGCAACAGCTTAATTTAATGTTTAAAGGGGCACTGCAACTTTTTTATTAACTGCCTGTTATTAGCATAGGAGTGTGTGTAGTAGTGGATCAGTATTTAGTACTCACCACTCTGTGAGACAGTAAGATGAACACAGAAGGAATCATAAAAATTGATGCATGAAAACTGAAGTTACTGGTGCTCAAAGTTAACCGGGGCATATAATAAAAAAAATGTACTCTTTCGTATTTCACTCTATCAGTGACCATCGCTAGATCTACCTAAGGCATGCCTCATGAAGGTCATTGTGCAGTGCACCTAGTGTAATGTTGCAATTGCTTATCAAATTCGATACAATATAAAAACAAATATTTTTCCAGTTGGGTGAAGTATGAAGGGTGCACATATATATTTAGAGCACAATAGCGTGGCGTAGCTGGAATCACATGACTAGCACGAGCCTTGGGCCATCAAGGAGGAAGATGGAAGGACAGGGAGGTTACTCAGTTATGAGACCGGTCGGGCGATCAAGCTAACCAGAACATACAGCCAGTGACATTAGTGGCAAATTGTAAAATGACCAGGTATCACTTCTGATGCCAAATATTGCCACTATGGAGCTGTAGACGAAGCAGAATGTGGTTGCTTCGTTCAAACAAGATCATAACTACTTTGTTTTCGGCATTCCTACTTGTGGTTCAATATCGCCTCATAGGGATCAAGACGACATGCCTAATTTGCGTTACACTAGCCGACTTGTAAACACGAACTAAACACTACTACTGCACTTCTAAACACGAGCCGATGAACTCTCTTCTACATGGTGTTTTGCAATAGCTGGCTGGATGTCTGCAAATGAGAAAAGATTAAAACAGTGTTCACTCTTGTCTAGTTCGACTGTTTCATATCAAAGCATATTAATAGACTTCTAATAAGGCACCTCTGTCTAAAGAATGAACTGCATTATAGAGGGCTTGCTCTTTTGGCCCAGTAGGTACATGAAGTCTAAGAGTTTGGTGGAATCCCACCTGGCCGGGGAATGACATGAACGAAGAAAACACAGGGCCGACTACAGTAACAGTAGATAAAGAAGATATTTTGGCTCTCATACAGCAGCCTTGTTCACAATGAAGCACTTGCAGCAAGTTTGCTTATTTTTAACATAAAACCACGTTTGAGGCAATGAACATGCACTGGCAGAAGATTACCACAGCATTTAGTCCATGCGCAATAGTTATAATGAAGAATCTAGATGAAGCTGTGGAAAGTTTCTTTTCTATGACGATAACGCAAACATCTTCCCAGTTTATCACGTGGCGTGTGAATGCAACATTTGATGCAACCCATTTGTTTTTTTTGTCATTACTGTGCTCACGTAAGAATTTCTTGAAATTACAGGTCACTCCTATATAAACATGTCCAACCTGAGTGATCTGTGATTCAGTAGATGACACCTGCAAACTTTCTCCACTCTGACTTGTCCTTGATGTTTCTAAGTTCCTGAGCAGGTAGAGAATTATTTGTGAATCGCAGGCCTCGTGCTGCTCTGTAATATTTGGCTTGCGTATTTTCAGGAGCCTAGACTATCAATCGCAAGCATTTTATGACCATACCAAAAAAGTGTTGCTGGGCCCTTTTAAAACAAGCTTGACAAGTGCACATATTGCAGCATTGTGCTTAATGCCAGACGGTTTCTTTTTTTTTCTTGTACTAACTGCTAATGCTTCTGTCATCTTGCTTATGCTAAAAGTTGGGAACACACCAACTAGCCCTTCGCTCAGCAATCCCCATTTTCGAAGTAGCATTGCAGTCCCGCACTGGGAAGGAGGTGCTCTGGATTGTTTATTATTTGAAAATTGCATAAAGAATCCTTCGTGGCAATATGGTTGATGGGGTGAGTTGGTGATACATGATTGTTTTTAAATGAGAGCGCACTACTTGGACGTCGACAGAAAGACATTCATGCTATTTGAAGCCTTGTATTATGGGTTGCAGGCTCTAGGAAAATACGAAACTTGAGTCGCTGTGCAATCTCTTGAGAGACGTGGCACTGCACCTTTACGACAGGTGAGTGGATATGCTATTTATTTGATACTACTTATTTAATACTATTTAATAAGGGGTCAGAATAAGGAGAGTTTGTATGTGTAGTGCCTGAGTATTATCCTAAAAGCAAGGTGATGAAAAACCACTGTGATGGTGCAAAGTGCTCAGCAGCTAACCAGAAAGATGTGGGTTTGACTCCGACCACTGCGGTTACGTATCGATGGAGGCAAAATGCCAGAGGCTCAAGTACTCATATTTTGGTTCATTACATTCAGTGATTCCACTCCCATGCCAAAGTGTGCCAAATCAGATTTACTGCGTCATCCTGATAATATGAATGGAAACTGCGCCAAAGTCGCATTTGGGAGCGCCTATCACCGGCAATAGCCACGCCAGCGTGTCAAAACATGTGCACCTTGTTCTCGGGGCCCACCAAAGTCACAACCAAGTACCTAAATTATCCCGCTGAATAAACAACATTCGCCCGTGTGTCCTAAGTAATCCACGTTGCTGTGCTTGGTACAAGAAAATTCGACAAAACCGCCGGGGAAGAATAATCTTCTCCAGTGGTTTGCATCGTCTCATTCTTTTGTAACATGCACAAACTAGCCCAACAACAAGTTTTGCTATGTTTGGTGCCGATAGAACTTCTGTGGTGCAAGTCCACTCAACGGCTAAACGAGCTCTCCGTAGGGGCTCTTGACGTCTAATTCAATCGATACCGTGAACCTATGGCGGCAATTCATCGGCGGACGTCGTCCGTTCCATGAGTGCTGCTCATAACTCGTTTGAAAAGTTGTGCGGCATGTAATTAGATCAATTTGCAGTTATAACTGCATGCATTCCGCCAGAATAAACATGAAACGTCGTAAAAACTTCTCAAAATGACTAGAAAGGTATGCGAACATTTTGGTATATTATGTGACGCTGAATAAATGTTTTTCACAGGAAGTTTTCTAAAAGATGTTGACAAAACGTTCTTTACAAAAAGTTTTTTTCAAAACCTTTAATAAATGTTATTTTTTAGAAATTTTGGTAGAATTTGCGGATTGATTTTTGATCGCTCCATGCCATATATGCAGGGTTTTTTAAGCAATACATATTTTGCATTAAAAAAACTATGATAGCTATAGGGTAGGCACCCTTGGTCTTGGCAGCCTATTTCTAGGCTGAGGTGGCAACGTTTTGCCACTAATTAGATCACTCCGGACTGATTAACAAAAATATTCAATTGATTTTTTTATCAAACTTAGGGTGCTTATATGGTAAAGCCGTGTTACATCTCAAATTATGACGAGCATAGTTTTTAAAAATTTAAAATATCATGCGTGGTTTCAGACATCCATCGTCTGATGGATGTCTGAAATTAAAAATATATATTACTATAAAATTATATATCTATATATATCTGAAGAATTTTTTCCAATGGGCCAAATGCACTTTGGAAGAGAAGAGACACAACTTAGCAGTTGTCTTAATTTTATTTCCAATGGTTTTGAACGATGAACCGGTATTCTTCAGGGTCTTTCCTATATATATATATATATATATATATATATATATATATATATTTGGCCATGTCGTCAGTTACGCCGGAGTTCGTCCAGATCCCGAGAAAGTGGCCGCCGTCGCACAGTTTCCAGCACCATCAGATAAAAAGGCAGTCAGGCATTTTCTGGGTCCATGTGCATATTATCGGCAGTTTATTTCAGATTTTACGTGCATTGCGTCACCTTTAACTTGTCTCACGAGGGATGACGTTGCATTTGTTTGGGGCGACGAACAGGAAGCTGCTTTTAATGACTTGCGGCAACGTCTTCACACGACCCCCGTGCTTGCCCATTTTGATGAGATAGCCCCTACAGTGCTCCATACTGACACCAGCAATGTTGGCCTCGGAGCTGTGCTTGTGCAGTGCCAGGACAACAAAGAAAGAGTGATCGCTTACACAAGCAGAACTCTGTCACGCACAGAAGCAAATTGCTCGACCACTGAAAAGGAATGCCTCGTCGTGGTGTGGGCAGTTATGAAATTCCGCCCCTACCTTTACAGCCGCCCATTCAAGGTTATCAGTGACCATCATTCGTTGTGTTGGTTAACAAGTCTGAAAGATCGTTCCGGGCAATTGATACGCTGGAGCCTTAGACTACAGGAATTTGATATAACGATAGTGTATAAGTCGGGAAAACGACACACGGACGTCGACTGCCTGTCTCGATCACCAATAGAGTTGGCTGCTTCTCTTGATGAAGAGACAGCGTTCCTCAGAATCCTCGACACGTCAGCCATCGCAGATCACCAGCATGACGATCCTGAGCTACTTGGCTTGATTAATTATTTACAAGGACGAAGCCAGAACGCACCCAAAGCCTTTGCAAAAGGACTATCGTCGTTCTGTCTACGAAACAATGTCCTTTACAAAATCAACTTCTCGTTAGAAGGGTCCACCTACCTGCTTGTCGTCCCTATCACTCTTCGTTCTTAGGTATAGCGAGGGTGTCACGAGGTTACATCTGGACATTTAGGCTACACGCGCACACTGGGCAGAGTTCGAGGGAGGTATTACTGGCCTAGACTCACTGCTGCCGTGAAGCATCATGTTCGGACCTGCCTCAATTGCCAGCGGCGCAAGTTACCTCCGACGAAACCAGCCGGTTTGCTACACCCTGTCCAGATCACCACAATGCCATTTGACCAGATCGGAATGGACCTTTTGGGCCCACATCCGACTTCTATCGCTGGTAACCGCTGGGTTATAGTGGCGACCGACTATTTTACTCGCTACGCCGAGACAAAAGCCATCCAGAGAGGCACAGCTGAGGAGGTGGCCCGATTTTTCATACAGAACATTGTGATAAGACACGGTGCGCCGTCGATCGTTATAACAGATCGCAGAACCGCATTTATGGCTGCGCTTTTAGATCATGTGTTGGTGCTCAGCGGTACTATTCATCGCAAGTCGACAGCTTACCATCCACAAACCAACGGCTTAGCCGAGCGGTTTAACAAAACTCTGGAAGACATGCTTTCAATGTATGTGGACATCGAGCACAAAAACTGGGACGAGATTGTCCCTTACATAATGTTTGCATACAATACTGCTAAACAAGAAACCACATGGATGACCTCATTCAGCCTTTTTCACAGACGAGAAGTAAGGACGATGTTGGACACGATGCTGCCACACGAATGCGATGACAACGAAACAAGTGCTGACGCGTTTACTCAACGCGCAGAGGAAGCCAGGCAGCTCGCATGTCTGCGAATATACCAACAGCAAAAGTATACGCAGGTCGCTATAACCTACATCATACACCTGTAACATACGAAACTGGGGACAGGGTATGGGTGTGGACACCTGTAGGAAGACGGGGACTATCCGAAAAGTTGCTCAGAAGATACTTCAGACCTTACCAAGTGCTGCAACGACTAAGTGATGTTACCTACGAAGTCGTTTCGGATCCCCCAAACTTTACAAGGCGTCGCCAGCACCAACCTGAACTTGTGCACGTAGTGCGCATTAAGCCATACGTCAGCGATTGACTCCGCGAAGCACCGTCGCTTGTACGAAGTGACTTCATGTGCGAATTACTGGCTCAGCTATAGCATCAGGGCGATGCTCTATTAAGGGGAGGCAAATGCTGCACTAAATAGACAGAATGAAGACGATGTGTGCGCCAACAGTCTCATGAAAAGGGACACTGAAGAAGACGACGTGGTTTTGTTTATGTCTCTTGCTCTTGGCGCCTATATAAAAACACACGCCGTTGGTTCTCGGACTCAACATCTCGGTGATCTGCTTACGTTGAACCGCGACTATATATATATATATATATATATATA